GCGGACACAGGGACACACAGGGACACCCGGACACAGGGAATGATGCTCTGCGCACTCCTGCAGGGAGCTCTGAGGGGTCCTGGTGTTCTCAGCGCCCCCAGGTTCCCTTCCGGTGCTTGGAATATAAATGGGGGGCAATGTTATGTGCAGTAGATATAATTCATGCCGTTTCTAGTATGATATACGTGATATTGAATATTTGTTGGAGTATACACGTTTGTATTAGGGGTCCCGCCCACCTTGGGCGTCCAGGCGCTAATTATCGTGTGAACGACCCGAGATGGATATCATGGACATCCTCCGGACAGATACATGTGAATGCAGGGTTCCCCTAAATTTCATCAAGGGATTCACCAACTCGGACATCGAATTGTTCTACCTCCTTGCCAAGAAAAGAAATCTCATCAAACTATGGGACTGTGAATAGAAGAAAGGACTGATTGCTGAAATCCTGGCCTCAGGTGGAATTTTTCCTATAAAAACCGCTTGTGCCAGGATGGAGGTGTGTGGGCACAGAGGAAAACCTCTGCTGAGGCTGACTTTGTTGCACACCCAGGGCCGACCCCGGGCTCAGCACTGTTCTTTCCCTGTGGCTGGCTAGATTGAATTTGATTGCAAAATAAATACTTTATTTTTTCATTTTAATTTGGCTGGACAAATTTTCATTTATAACAGGCAAGGAGGAAGAGAGGGATGTCTGGAGTGATGGTGTCTGTTGTCACAAATAACTGAAATGTGATGGGGCCCTGCTCTCCTGGAATAGCTGAACACCTGCTTGCCCATGCGAAGTGGGCAATTCCTTGTTTTGCTTTGCTTGTCTGTGTGGTGTTTGCTTTCCCTCAACCCACGAGATTTCCAGCTTTTACCGTTCCAATTCTCTCTCTGATCTTTCTGACGGGGGAGTGGACAAGCTGATGTGTTGGGCTTGATTGCTGGCTGGGATTAAACCACGACTGTCCTTGTTTGTTACCCAGCATATAGGGGCACTAAGGGTTGAGGTAACAGAATAGTAGGCTGGAAACAAATGTGATCTCAGCATTTGCTGTATTAGGTCCAGAGCTACTGGCCACAGTGGTGCTTGGGCTGTTCATGTGGGCATGGCTAACCCTGGCTCTG